TAATTATTGATAAAATCACATTTTAAAAAGGAAATTAGTTGAGGTTCTTGGAGGAAATGGTACTCAAAATATATAATGCAATCTACAAGATCAACCAATTAATTTAATCCAAGATTATTCATTTTGTTGATTAATTTGATTATTCAATTAATTAAATTCAAAATATGTTTTTACCCTTTTTTGACATTAATTACACACTGACTTGTGAAACCTGTTTTACCATTTCAATATAGTTCGATAATAAAATATGTATTTATTTAAAATAATTAGTAATGATTGTAATTAAATATTATTGGGTAATACTCTTGAATATATTACTCAAAAAGTCTTGATTTTAATTCATCTTGACCCTAATAGAGATGATCATTAAAACTTTTATCTGATCGGTAATTTCAATGTCTTAAGAAATTAGTTGAGATACGCGTTAACTGATTTGAATACTCCGATAATAAAAAAATGATTATAATCTAGAAAAACATAAATATTACATCAATCAATAACTAAATTATCAAAATTTCTTTATTATATAAATTAACAATCCCCTTCATTATTGATACCATATCAAATTGACGGAGACTTGAGAGTGTCTAAACTAAGCCATGAGATCTCATTTCCAATAATCTATGATTTTATTAATTTATTGTTATTATTTTTTTTTTTTTTTGTTCAAGTTTGTTGAGAGAGGACCCACTTCCCAATGCCTACCACATGCTTGGTATTATGCCCGAGAGCCAAATTCCTCTTAAAATAATGTGGAAAATAAAAAAAAGCAAAGAAAGTGAAACATATAAAACAAAAACAAAAATAAAAAAATGAGCAAAATAAACAAGTACAAGTGCAATTATCTCAGGGATGTGACACCTTTTCTATGTAGCCGACACCCCATTTTCTTGTTTTTAACACCCCCCCAACCTTTCCACATGCACCCATTTACATTGCTAAATTAAATATTTCCCAATAATTATTAAATACATTTAATATTTTGAGATTTTTCTTCCTTCTTTTTTTTTATTAGAAAATAAAAAGATTGTGGGGTTAAATGTTCGATCATTAGGTTAATTTCATTCCTCTTTGATATAACCTCGAGTCTCAAGCATCTCGAAAACTATTAAACACCTTTATCATAGAAGTTAATAGTTTTACAAGATTATTTTTAATATATCATAAAAGAATTTAATAGATTTAAAAAATTGTTAGAGGTTTTTTGGACTTAACAACCATTTAGAAGCAATGAATTTAAAGGGGGCATTTGGTTCAAGGAATGTTGGATTACTAAAAAGATAGATTATCTTGAAGATTACTGAGAATCTTTAGGAAAATGTGTTTAGTTAATTGGTGGGTATGTTATATTAATATATTTGGCTGGAATGAATAAATTGGTGGGTATGTTATATTAATATATTTGGCTGGAATGAATAAATTGGTGGGTATGTTATTTAAATTGAGTAATACTACATTTACAAAGTCCTTATACAAAGATATATGTACAAAGTGATGTGTCATACTATAATTGGACAATGAATTTAACTTTAATTAAAAAGTTGACTTTACAAATTCACTCTCCCAATCATAGTATGACACATCACTTTGTATATATTTCTTTGTATGAGGACTTTGTAAGTGTAGTATTATTCTTTAAATTACTGAATTGTCCTCTAATTAAATATTATTATTATATTATTTTTTAATATTATTATTAGTTGGATTACTATAACCCCCTACATTTAAAAACTTAGCAAAAACAACCCCAAAATAAAAGTTTGAAAAATCAACAAAACACCCCCCACCAACCCAACCATTGTCGGCTGCCAGAAACCACGGTAGGCCACCGGCTGCAGGCAACCTTACGGTGCACGAAAGGCTGAAAATGGCCGTCGTGCGTCGATATGGCTGTTTTCGACTAGATCCGTTAATCTGGCCGTTAACGGCCAGATTGATTACGGATTTGGCAGTCAACGGCCAGATAGGCGCACGACGGCCATTTCTGGCCTTCCATGTGCCATTCCGACGACGGCAGTTGACCGTCGCGGTGGTTGTCAACGGCAGGTGGCTGGGGGTGGTGGCTTGAGTGAGCTGTAATTTGTTTTGAATTCAAGGGTAATTTATTCCAAAAAATTAATTAATTGGGGGTGAAATAGTAAAAGCCATATTCATATAAATAAATTTAAAAATAAGGGCATTATTGTCCTAAAATTTTATTAATAAGGGATATAATTGTAACAAAAAAAGATAACTCTGGTAATCTTAGAATACCTAAGAAAATTGAGGTAATCAGATTACCTCAAATATTACCAATAGTAACTACTATTGGTATTTGAAGATTACCGGTATCTTATATCACTTGACAACCAAACATGGTAGTCAAGTAATATAAGATGACTTAACCTTAGTAATCTCAAATAACCCCTAAACAAACGCCCCTTAGTTATTTGTGTGTGTGTTTTTTTTTTTTTAATCACCGAGGTGTCTGATCAGTTTATACACACTTCAATTAAGCTTTCAGGGTTTTAAAATTAGAATAATTATATCATTATAACTGATTCATACAATCAGGTATATAACCTGACAAAAAACATAAGATAGAGTAGTCATTTTACTTAAATTTCGTAAAGTTTTTGTATGATTAAGTTGTAAACATAATAAGAGCTCTAATGACCGTTGATATTTATTTATTTTTGAGGCAGATATATATAAAAGAAAGAGTTTGAGTAGTTAAAGGGTTTAGGGTTTTTTATTTTTTTATTATTATTATTAAATATCCTTATCAACAACTCTCATTTATTTTTTACATAAATCACAGGAATGTTTTTAGTAGAAAAAAACAAACTCAAAATTGACTTTAAATTCAGAGAAAAAAAAAAATAGTGAAATTAAATGTATATTCTCTGCCAAGATTCAACTCCAGTTTCTTATAAGAATTCCATTAAACTTCTGCCTTGATTGGTTCATCAAAATTTGCCAGGTTCCATTTTTTATTTTATTCTGTCACATGTCGTATGTTAGGTATCAGAAAATAAATTTTCGACAATGTTATCCATAAAACTATAAATCAGGGTTATATATTAAAGTCAAATATTTTAGTTAATGCATCTTAATCCATCAATTAAATTTTGAGTTAATCTCTCAAAATCAGTTCTAAATTTGTGTCTACCAATCCATAACTAAACATACGTGATTTAGGTGAATGATATTTGTGTAAACCTTAAAACAAATTTGTGCGAATTAAACTCAAAGTAAATAAATATCGGGTTAAAATGGACAAAAACTTATTAGTATATAATAGAATAATGTATACTTAGTTGAGCTTATCAGATAACAATATAAGCTCAATATTTACTCAGTTGAGTTGATACGAATAACATTAAGATCAAACTAGACGAAGTGTACCCTGATAACATATTCAATTGATTCAGTTGGATATCATTAGATTTGATTAGACAATATTTATTAAGTTGAGTCGATTGAATAACATTATATTGACCTAGACAATATGTCAATATCTACTCCGATAACATATCCAGTTGAGTCGATTGGATAACATTAGATTAAACTAAAAAATATTTCTTTAATATCTACTCAATATGTAACAGAACGGCATTCGTTAAATATTTATTCAAATTGAACCAATTCGATACATATTTGTTGAGTCATTTGGATACCATTAGATTACACTAGACAATATGAACTCACTATCTACCAAATTTGTTAAGATAATATCTATTAGGTTGAGTTAAATCGATAAAAAATCGATCTTTTAATATTATATTTAAAAAAAAAATGATCCTATAATATTATCAATTAAATCATCCAATTAATGAGTAATGTTATAGTCATCGAAGGTTGTACATCGAATGACGTGACAAAATCTTAATTATTGATTTATTATCAATTAATATTAATCAACGGTCAAGATTTTATCACATTATTCGATGTATAGATTTGATACGTAACCTACGGTAACTCTTTCATTTTCCATTGAATTACCTAACACCATTCCAACAGTGGTCTCCTGTGTGAATGATGCAGTTGTAAGATAATATAGGGTGCGTTTGGTTTAGTATTTTGGATAGGATTTTATGGTTATTATTGTGTTATTGGATATGGGAGTATTACGAGGTAAATTTTAAAAATTTATAAAAAAGCCCTTAGGTTTACTAATTTAACTAAAGACCCTAACATGTAAAATGACAAAAACACCCCCACCACCTGCACTGTCAGATTCCGGCCACCACCGCCGGAATCTGGCCGGAAAATTTCGTTACGGCACAGACTTGTCGGATCTGTGCCGTAACACGTCGTTATGGCCTTTTCCGGCTAGATCCATGGTGGATCTGGCCGGAAAAGGCCAGATCTACGGTTTGTTATGGCCGTCGTTTGCCGGAAAAGGCCAAACGACGGCCATCTTTGGCCGTCAGGGACGGCCAAAGATGTGGCCGTCGTTTTCGGTCAACGACGGCCAAGATTTGGCCGTCGTTGACCGTCAACGACGGCCATTTCTTTGGCCGTCGCTGACGGCCAGATCTGGCCTTTTCCGGCCAGATCCGTGGTGGATCTGGCCGGAAAAGGCCACAGCGGTGAACTTCCGGCCATTTCTGGTCGGAAGTTTGGCCGTTGTACAGATTCCGGCTATCACCGACGGTGGTTGCCGGAATCTGACAAGTTGGGTTGATGGGGGTGTTTTTGTTAATTTTTAAACTTTTTTTTCAGGGGGTATTTAGTGAAATTAATAACCTTATGGGGTTAAAATGTAATTAAAAAAAATAGGGTAATATTTTGAGAATATTGTACCAAACGCTATTTGAAAAATAGGATCCAGAATAGGGATAAAAATATTAAACCAAACGCATACATAGATTTCTGAAATGAGTGTCAGTCTCTGACACGGCTCATATGTGAATGTGAGAAGTATATCATATTCATATGCAATTCATTCATTCAATTATATGCACTTTGTGGCATTCAATTATTCCTTTTACCTTTCTTTGTTGTTTTCTTTCTCCAAACAAAAACATTTTCATTCTCCTTCATTCACCCCATGTTACACTTCATTCATTTCTTACTAAATTTCCTTCCTTTTTCTCTCTCTCTCTTTCATCTCCACTCATAAAGTTGCCTTTTTACACTTCTGGGTTGGCCTATTTTTCATCTGTCATTATTTCTTTTTCTTTCTTTGTTTCTTTTTTATGTTTATTGTAACTTGTGAGTCCAGCCAAAAGATTCAAGTCTTGTACTTGCTTCCTCCTTCTCTTTCTGTTTTGTGTTTTTTTTTGCCATAAAATGCCACTCCCCCTTTGCTTTTAATCCATTTTTTTTTTTCTGTGTTGGTTTGGTGAGTTTTTAGCAAAATTCATTTTGTTTTTGTTTGTTTTTTCCAAGCTGTACACCATTATTGTTATTATTGATTTAATTGCTTACCAAAATTTGATGCTTCATTGTTTAATCTAATTTCTTCCCATCATTGGTAATAAATCTCGTTTGTTTTTCCATTTTTGTTTATTACTCTTCAACCGCTTCCTTTCCTGAATCTCAAATGTTTCTGGAAACAAATATTTTCTGGGAATAAAGTGTTTTCATCTTTATTCTAATCTGGGTTGTCATCAAAATCCAGTCTTTTCAACTGTTTCTTCAAGATCTCTTGTGTGGTCACTTGAAATCTTGAGTTTTTCCATCTGGGTTGCTTCCAAAAGTGATGCAAATTGAGAGTCTTGGCAATGGCGAATCTTGTGCCTGGTGTGCTGCTCAAGCTTCTACAACATATGAACACTGATGTGAAAGTTGCTGGTGAACACAGGTCATCTCTCTTGCAAGTTGTGAGCATTGTCCCTGCATTAGCAGGAGGTGAGCTTTTCCCCAACCAAGGGTTTTATTTGAAGGTTTCAGATTCATCTCATGCTACTTATGTATCTTTACCTGATGAACATGATGATCTGATTCTTAGTGATAAGCTTCAATTAGGGCAGTTTATTCATGTTGAGAGACTTGAATCTGCCTCTCCTGTCCCCATTCTTCGGGGGGTTAGACCGGTTCCCGGTAGGCATCCTTGTGTAGGGAACCCTGAAGATATTGTGGCAACTCACTCTCTTGGGTTCCTTAGTAATGATAATAATAAGAGTAGTAGTAATAGTTCTTCAGGGTCTAAACCTGGAGAGAAAGTAAAATCGCCTTTAAAAGTAGTGATAGGAAGTAATCAGAATCATGTTGGTGAGAAAGAGAAGTTGGGGAACAGAGCTAAAGATGATTTGTTGGAGAAGAAGACAGTGGCGACTTTGAGTAGATCAAAGTCTCAGTTGTCAAAACAGGCATTGACTATACATTTGAAGAAGGAGGGTATGGGGAAGTTGAAGACTTCAAGTTCTAGGTCAATCCCTTCTTCTCCCACGAGTTGTTATTCGTTGCCTACTTCGTTTGAGAAATTCGCAAATGGGGTTAAGCAGCATTCAAAGATTAAGGGGTTGGATAAGGCTACACCGTGGGTGGGATCAGTTGAAAAGGTGAGTTCTCTTCGTGCAGCAAGTCCCACCACAAGGAAGGTACCGGTGATCAAGAATATAGTGCAGGGATTTGAGCTTGGGGCAAAGGCTTTGAGGAAGAGCTGGGAAGGGAATATGGAGGTGAAGACTAGGGAGAATTCAAAGTTGAGAGCTGCCAAACATGATCCCAAGACTGAAGCACGAAGTACTTCAGTGAGTTTTATCATTAATCTTTAAATTAAATAGCAAAGTTTCATAATTTTATTCCTTATTGTGATTAAATATAAGGTCTATCAATTTTGTAGAATTTCAGATTAAAAAAAAAAAAAAAAAATTGTACAGGTTGTGAGTTGTGTCAAGCATCTAAATGATGCTTCATCTCTGATTTTTTTTCTTTATTCTTGTGATGCAACATTACAATTTTCTGACTCTTGTCCTTAAACTTAATGTTTGCTGGGTTCTTTATTTTGTTTTGTTTAATTTTTTTTTTTACCACTAATGTCAAACAATTGTGTCCTTAAATATAATTTAATCATATTTTCCAGGCTCCTAGGAAAAGCACATCAAGTGAGAGGTTGCCATCAAAAGAGGAGAATAAGGTTATATCTGCAAAGTCATCTAAAGAGGAGAATAAGTTTCAAGTCTCAACCAAGAAAGTTCCAGCAAATGGAACACTGGATGATCAAGAAAAATCAAATAAACTAAGAACTACGATTGGGAGGAAATCGGGAGAGCTTAATAATAATGGTCTACCAGGAAATTTGGTCAAGGTTCCAATAAATAGTAAAAGATTAACAGATGGAAGTGTTTCATGGACTGCACTCCCCTCTTCACTTTCGAAGCTTGGAAAGGTATAAACCATATGATGACTTGGATCCTGAATCTTCATAACTTCCTTAGTCTTGGTCAAAGTGTCTATTTGAAGTTTCTGCCTGTTAAGTTATTACGCATGCATGCCTTTTTGGAAATTTTGTTCTAGTGATTTGTAAAATCATGCAGCAGTGTAGAATTGCTTAAAAATCTCAAGGTTTAAGCCTTTTGCTGAGATATGTTGGATTTATTTATTAAAAAATGGTGTCTAATCCTGACTAGCAGGGGCTTGAGCCTTCTGTTACTTGATTTATTGGGCTTTGTTTCATTTCCCTTAAACAAACATATATCAGGTAACCATTTTATGAAAAGTAATAAATGTGTATATTTTTTCTGCTTTACACTTCATTATATCTTATCGCTTGTTTCCACATTTATTATTGCAGGAAGTCATGAAGCACAGAGATGCTGCACAGACTGCTGCAATAGAGGCTATGCAGGAGGCTTCTGCTGCAGAGAGCTTGCTACGATGTTTAAGGTACAGCAGTCCCGTAATAAAAGAAAGTTTGGTAGTACAAGCATTTTTTTTTCTTTTAATACTTCATTTACTGTCTTATAAATTCTGATAATAATATCTCCTAATATGTCAAAATTAAACAACATTTCTGCCATTGTTCAAATTATAATTCTAGACTCTAGAGCGATGGTGCATTACTTATATTTGCACCTGAAGGCTTTAGGAGGTACTGCACGATATGTGGAAGACGTCTTTATTAGGTTGGATTGGAAACAGGTCTCTGAGGTTATACCAGGTTGATTATATTAGTTTCTGGATTCTTGAAAAGTTAGTTGGTAACCGGTGACCAAGGAATATCACATAAATTTGTAAAACAAACTCAACAGGGTAAATTTAAGCTCTCTGGCACTGAAAACAATTTTGCCGATTATGTCATCTGATTAACTGTTTGTTAAATCTGTGCTTGGCCAATGTTACACAAACATGGGCCAGATGTATTGATTTTCTATTAGTTTGTGTAGATTTTTTTCATCAAGCAGATATATTTATCAAAATATTGAGTTAATGAATGCTTTGACCTTAAGGTCAATAAAAAATGGTCGGATTAATATGGAATGTCTCTGTTTGTGTGTTATCCTGTGGACGAGCATAAATTTATGATCTCCACCAAAATGAGCTATTAATGGTTTTTTTCTGCCGTAATGTAGGAATCTAGAATTTCCACAGGTGCTGGCATTTTGATTTTCTTGGCTAAAAGAAACGTGAGAGCTGATGATTCGTAGTTGGCTTTTCTTGTTCTCATATTCCCTTCTCTATACTTGTAACTCATACTAAACTCTACCTGGCCTGTTTGTGAGCGAATTAGAAGATAGCTGAGAGCACATACTCTTTTCCTTCTGGATGCAACTTTTTTGTGCTGGTGAGCTGTTGTGACATTAGTAATAGCCGGTAGAGGGACTGCTGACACCTTAATTATTTCTGCTGTCTATATTATGAGCTTCATGTACAATTTTGCCCATGGCGGATCTTGTTGGTTATATTGATACACTTTGGCTGATTACTCTAAAGAAGTTAATACTAATATAGGTTTACAGGCCTATGGCAAGACATGTGCAAGTCTGAAGTTGCTTTATGCAACAACAAATCCTACCTGACACCTTAGCAGCATGGTCAGTATAATGAATGCCAAACCAAGCAGGAATTGTGATAGATGGTTTGATAAAACCATAGACTACTTGTATGACAAAGGCTTTTGATTATTGATAGATGAAGGTTCAAGGATACATAATCATTATAGAATTGTTGTGGTACTCGGGAAATCTGTTCATGGACGTATATATAGAAACCAATGTCCAGGACATATTGGGCTGCAAATGAGAAGTTTAGGAGTTTTTCTGCCTGAAGTGATTGTTGGAAATTCAAATTTTTNAATCTCCTAATATGTCAAAATTAAACAACATTTCTGCCATTGTTCAAATTATAATTCTAGACTCTAGAGCGATGGTGCATTACTTATATTTGCACCTGAAGGCTTTAGGAGGTACTGCACGATATGTGGAAGACGTCTTTATTAGGTTGGATTAGAAACAGGTCTCTGAGGTTATACCAGGTTGATTATATTAGTTTCTGGATTCTTGAAAAGTTAGTTGGTAACCAGTGACCAAGGAATATCACATAAATTTGTAAAACAAACTCAACAGGGTAAATTTAAGCTCTCTGGCACTGAAAACAATTTTGCCGATTATTTCATCTGATTTAACTGTTTGTTAAATCTGCGCTTGGCCAATGTTACACAAACATGGGCCAGATGTATTGATTTTCTATTAGTTTGTGTAGATTTTTTTCATCAAGCGGATATATTTATCAAAATATTGAGTTAATGAATGCTTTGACCTTAAGGTCAATAAAAAATGGTCAGATTAATATGGAATGTCTCTGTTTGTGTGTTATCCTGTGGACGAGCATAGATTTATGATCTCCACCAAAATGAGCTATTAATGGTTTTTTTCTGCCGTAATGTAGGAATCTAGAATTTCCACAGGTGCTGGCATTTTGATTTTCTTGGCTAAAAGAAATGTGAGAGCTGATGATTCGTAGTTGGCTTTTCTTGTTCTCATATTCCCTTCTCTATACTTGTAACTCATACTAAACTCTACCTGGCCTGTTTGTGAGCGAATTAGAAGATAGCTGAGAGCACATACTCTTTTCCTTCTGGATGCAACTTTTTTGTGCTGGTGAGCTGTTGTGACATTAGTAATAGCCGGTAGAGGGACTGCTGACACCTTAATTATTTCTGCTGTCTATGTTATGAGCTTCATGTACAATTTTGCACATGGCAGATCTTGTTGGTTATATTGATACACTTTGGCTGATTACTCTAAAGAAGTTAATACTGATATAGGTCTACAGGCCTATGGCAAGACATGTGCAAGTCTGAAGTTGCTTAATGCAACAACAAATCCTACCTGACACCTTAGCAGCATGGTCGGTATAATGAATGCCAAACCAAGCAGGAATTGTGATAGATGGTTTGATAAAACCATAGCCTATTTGTATGACAAAGGCTTTTGATTATTGATAGATGAAGGTTCAAGGATACATAATCATTATAGAATTGTTGTGGTACTCGGGAAATCTGTTCATGGACGTATATATAGAAACCAATGTCCAGGACATATTGGGCTGCAAATGAGAAGTTTAGGAGTTTTTCTGCCTGAAGTGATTGTTGGAAATTCAAATTTTTTGGTATAATGTAAAAAGTGTTTTAAGTTATGGCAGAAGTTCCAAATAATTTTTTTTTTTTTTTTGGGGGAGGGGGGTGGGGGTGTGTGTGTGACCATGAGTTGATCCTTTACTTTTTTGGCCAGGTTGATTTTGTTATTTATTCAGAATTATCTATACAGTTACGCATCTTCAATTTCCCCCTTTTCTGTCCAACTGAATTGTTTTCTGTTATTTTTCTTCTTGCAGCTTGTATTCTGAGCTAACTTCATCAGCCAAGGAAGACAATCCACAGCCTGCTGTGGAGCAATTCTTGACACTTCATTCAAGCTTGAATAATGCTCGAATGATTGCCGATTCTCTGTCAAAAATTATACCAACTGGTTCATCCCCAGATCATGAAGAAAATCCATCAGAAGAAGCACTAAAGATCGCATCAGATAGACGGAAACATGCAGCATCTTGGGTCCAAGCTGCATTGGCCACCAATTTATCATCCTTTTCTGTTTTTAGTAAAGATCCTTCTTCAACTCTTGTACCTCCTTTGGCCTCTGCTCTTGGCCAAAAGATTGTCTCTGGCAATCAACCCATGTTAGTGCTAGAAAATTCCAGGAATTCCTCAGCAAAACCGCAAGGGAAACCCCGTGTAACAGTCTGCTCTAAACTCGTCGCATCAGGAGCTCTTCGCAGACCAGGAGATGGTCCAGCCAGTGGTCAAAAGGCACAGGTCCAACCCTTGCCAGACTGGAATAGGGGAGATGGCCTAGATGAGGCAGTGGACTTGGCAGAGATGTTGCAAATGGAGTCCCAGGACTGGTTCCTAGGATTTGTTGAAAGGTTCTTGGATGCTGATGTTGACACGTCATCTTTGTCTGATAATGGTCAAATTGCAGGGATGTTGACTCAGCTCAAAAGTGTGAATGACTGGTTAGACAAAATCAGTACAAGCAAGGACGAAGAAGCACCCCATGTCTCGGCTGAGATAATCGACAGGCTAAGGAAGAAGATATATGAGTATCTCCTGACACATGTTGAATCTGCCGCCGCCGCACTTGGTGGTGGATCACAATCATCGCCTCGGATTCGACCAACCGAAGCAAAATCAAAAAGGTGACTTTCCCTTCCCCACCTAATATGCAGTGTTGTCAGTGTATTATATGTGGTATTGAGCTATAGCATCTGTGCTTCGAAACCACCAAGTGGTTCCAGGAGCCCAGTGATATGATTTATATGTACATAAATCCTACAGGGGTTTGAGGTATAGATGTAGTAGTCACATTGATTATGAAAAGAAAAAGGCATTGAAGATGTGAAGCATGCATGGAATTTTTCACCCTCTAGTTTGCATTTGTTTATTGAAATTATACAAAGGAAAACAGTTTGGAGAGTAGAGAGTTGATCTTCTGAATGTGTGTTTTGTTTCCATTCAGAATGGAAATTGTTTTTCTTGATTCTAAATTTGGTTTTACAGTTCCTCCATTGACATTGCAATGTATATAGTTCCAAGATGAAAGTTGTCAACTTTGATTTCCTTTAATCTTTTCAACATAAGACTTGGCATTAAGGATGCATCAGTTTTCATCGACAAGATATTTGTCAGGTGGGCGAAGGTTGGCCGAAACCCTTCGCCGCTGTGTACAAAACAAAGTCTTTTGTATAATCTTAAAGGATCTAACCAATTTAACTCTCGAAGTTAATACTTGCTTCAAACTCTCCAAGTTATGACCTTAACCGCATGCAAAGCGGCATACTTGGATGCTGAGTTTGATAATGTTATTGAATCGATAACCATCGAATCTGATCAATGGTTAAAACTAAGAATGATCTAATGTTGTTGCTTATCTATGACATAGTTTTGCTTATCTATGACATAGTTTCAGAGGATTGTTAATTTCCTTTTTAGTTTCAGAGGATTGTTAATTTCCTTTTTATTGAATACCAAGCTTTGGAATTTATTTTGATTATTGAAAATTAATTTCAAATCATGATATATTATCCTCTTAGTTTAATTTTGAATAAATATATATTAACTTGGAACACTGAACAAGTACTACACAACATTAACAGCTTAATGTTTGTTGTAACACTTGTGCAATTGGGGAATCAAGAAATTGCATTTGGGATCAAAGTGTAATGTTCAACAAATGATGGGGACTGATATAGTTTAAAATTGCATTTAAGAGGTTAAATTAAGTTCAACAAATAAGAAATTAAAGATGACAAATGAATTATAAGGGATGAAATTAATACATTTATACGTAGAATTAAAAATTGCACTTTCACAAAATATTTTTTCTTAGAGGAGCGAATTAAATTAAGCCTTTGACCATATTACTCGGGTGTAAATTATTATGGTTAATAATATTCCCATGAACTGTAAAATCAAATTTAATAAAATGGAATTACATTTCATCCCAATGGTTTTACAAAATTCCCTTAGTCCATAAGAATCTAAAAGTAACACTATAGCCCCAGGATGAAAATGTAGTTTTTATAAACCTGAGGGATGGAAATGTTACTTTTCCGAACGCATTGTGCGCTTACTATAAGATGCCAAATTGAGCGAGCTGATCAGCTTGCTCTATAGTCAATTCGAATATTTTAGCAGAAATGTTACTAAACAAGGAGAAGAAGAAGAATCTAGAACTTCTCCTCCTACTTTCATCTCTTCTCTTCCATTGCGTTTCCTCCGAAATCTTCTTTGAAGAGCGCTTTGAAGGTAAAACTTTCTCGTTTCAGTGCACAGACTTGATGATTAGCTGATGAATTGATCATAACCAGGGTTTGAAAATCGTTTTTTTGGGTTCAAACTTGTTAGATGGGTGGAAGAGCAGATGGGTTTTATCAGACTGGAAGAGAGCTGAAGGAAAGGCTGGAACTTTTAAGCACACCGCCGGGAAATGGTCCGGAGATCCTGATGATAAAGGTATTGCTTTCACTAATATTATTACGAGGATGGTTCAAGTTCAAGTTCAAGTCAGAAGTTAAAGTTCCAAAAAAAAATGTTCTGCTCAATAAAGTTTTTTTTCTTTTAAGTGTTCCTTGTTATTAACTTCATTATTGTGTAATATTCTGGGTTTGATTCTTTTCTGCATTGTTGACATGTTTTGTAGATCATGTTGTTTGTGGATTGAAGTAGTATTGCGTTCTTGGTAGCATTTTTTTTTTTTTAACTGTTTTCTCGTCTTGATATTAAAGTTGTTTACGTTTTCTTTGTGGTTTTACTTTGTTAAATGTTCTTTTTTTTTTTTTTTTTTTTTTGAAGAATTATCTCAAAAGGGCAATATAAAATTCAATTTTGGTATTTTAAGAATTGAGGATATGCTTGGTATGGTTTTCTGAAAGCGACAGTTTGAAGAAGAAATTACTGAAAGGGTAGAGTTTCTTGAAAATAACAAATGTATGTATTTTATATATGAGATATTTTGTTTGATATTCTTAATAATTTTGGGAATCAAGTTAAAATGACTTATAGAATATTAATTTAAAGTAAAAAGTTAATTTCTTTTTTGTTGCTTTTTAATTATAAATGGAGAAAGTAAGATCTTGCATTTTCTGAAAACGGAAATTGAGAACATGTTCCAAACGCAGATTCAGCATTTTACTGGAGGGAAATTAAGAAAGAAAGTAACAAAATGCTCCTATCAAGCCTCTATTTTCTAACTGACTAGAAAATGAAAAACTTTATACTGGGAATAAATATGTAGTAAATTTGCGTATATATTAAATCACTGGATTTTTGAAGAACTTCGTGGGTTTGATTGTGTTGCACATTGATGCATATTTCATTGATCATTTAAAAATTTAAGTATATTGAAGTTGTTATGTTTTCTTCCCTTATGCTTATTTGTACGGGAAATATGAAGGACTTGGTTTAGTAACTTAATAGAAGACAAATGGTTTAAATAGTTAATTGTTGTTTCAACAAACTAAGAGCTACTAGTAAACTTATATTTTGTGCTTTGTTGATCGTTTGAAACCAATTTAGAAATGATTGATTAATAACTTCATTGAAGCTAAGGCTTAAGTAGGAAATTCTACCATACTGGGACGTGAGTACCATATTGCTATGGGATGTTAGATAATAATGAGAATATTAGGATAGGATAAAGTAACACCTCCATGTGTTACTGATTACCTAGGATTGCTGATCATAGCAGATACTGATGATGCCTGGAAATCTTGCAGGTATTCAGACATATAATGATGCCAAACATTATGCCATATCTGCAAAGATACCAGAGTTCAGCAACAAGAATAGAACTCTAGTGGTCCAGTACTCTATTAAGTTTGAACAGGACATTGAATGTGGTGGTGGTTACATTAAGCTTCATTCTGGTTATGTGAATCAGAAGAAGTTTGGTGGTGATACCCCTTACAGGTGAGTCAAATTGTTGTATGTTCTCCATGCCTTTTTTTTTTTTTTTTTTTTAAAGTTCAGGCCCCTTTTAGTACATGAAATTGGACTGGGCTATGTAAAGTACTCTAGAGTTCGGTGCTCGATGGTAATGTATTAGATAAAACTTTACCTTGTTATTATCAATTCGGACTGGACTGTAATACTTGTAAAACATTTTTTAAGGATTTTAATTTTAACCTATATCCCCTATGTTTTTCATACATGATATTACTAAATTGCAGTATACACAGATATAAGTCCTCTGATTGTAACTTTTTTTGTGCAGTTTGATGTTTGGACCAGATATATGTGGCTCTCAGACAAAAAAGCTTCATGTTATACTGTCCTATCAAGGTCAAAATTATCCCATCAAGAAGGATCTACAATGTGAAACAGACAAGTTAACACACTTCTACACGTTCATTCTTAGGCCTGATGCAAGTTACAGCATCCTAGTTGATAACCGAGAAAGAGATTCAGGGAGCATGTACACAGATTGGGATATACTTCCCCCACGGAAAATCAAGGATGTTAAAGCGAAAAAGGTACAACCATGGCTCTGTAATATTCGTGTTAAACTGTGGTACTTCAAATTATGGAATATTGTTACCATACTAGTTTTTAAGTTGTGGAAAAAAAAAAATTAGAAGTGTTTTATTCTGAAGATTGCATTTATCATTATGAAAACCACAGTTTATTTGAGTAGAATTTTCAGTTATATGTCTAGCTATCATTGTTTCCCTTCTCATTAGTAGGCGTCAAGTATTGCTTATTTTAGGCTTGCCTCTTCTCTTACTTTTTTATATATTTCCATTCACAGCCAGCCGACTGGGATGATAGAGAATATATAGATGATCCTAATGATGTAAAACCAAAGGTGTGATGTATGATTCTCTTTCATATTAATGGTTGAGATTGTATTAGTCATTGTTCCACATAAATTACACTTGTATTTACCTCTCTTATTGTTGCAGGGATATGATTCAATCCCAGCTGAGATTCCTGATCCAAAAGCTAAAGAGGTTCGTTGATTGGCTAACAATTTCATCCATTATGCTGTCTTCCATTCCTGTCCAGTCTATTTAGTGAGATTCAACACATAAAAGTTACTAAACCCACCAGAAATTTCTCTCTCTCTCTTTCTCTAAATAAAACCTTCTAAAATTGATGCGATAGATTGTGGTTATATTTGCTTAGGGATTTCTACTCATTTTTTTGCCGCCTAGTTTATCTTGATGAAAGGGTGACTCTATTATCAATTAGAAGATTTTATTTGATCTTTGTCTATGTTTATTTGTTGGTAGAAAGCCATAGGAGGAAAAATAAATTTATGACCTTGCATGACCTTATCTTGCTGTTGTCGAATAGCCTGATAACTGGGATGAAGACGAGGATGGAATATGGAGGGCACCTAAGATTCCAAATCCAGCTTACAAAGGACCATGGAAGCGCAAGGTATGCTCAAGTTTGAAATAGAAAGCTCAAACCAGATATTTTTGTTGCAGTGTCTAAATTATTGAAATTTTTGTGGTACTGCAGAGAATCAAGAACCCCAACTACAAGGGAAGGTGGAAGACTCCATGGATTGATAACCCAGGTAAATCTCTATCTCTACAAGATTCAGGGACTAGATGGTTTCACACATTGAAGAGTTGAGGAAAACCATTTAAATGTTAATCAAACAAGAAATAAAAATATTGTATGGAAATGTTGATCAGACTATCCAGGTAGAGTAAATTTATGTTTAGACTTGAACCAGATTGTATGGTCAAACTGCTGCAAGCAAGTTCAGTTGCCTATATACTATTGAAAACTCATTTTTAAGTTCCAGATTAACCTGCAGCCTGACATTCTTGACACATCTTGCTTAAGTTAAACTCCTATGTGCACTGCTACGAGCCAGTGGTTTGTGCTAAAATATCAATAAGCGATTACCCAAAGTATCTTACCATGATTTGATCCAGCTGAAGGTAGGGTGCATACTAGGCCTTGGCCATGTGCTTTTGAACCTTGTCTTGGGCCCAAACACAATAGTAATGATTTAAAAAGTAAAATTTGAATGTGAAAGGCCACTGATTTAGCTGGTTAGAACCTCTTGAAATCTCGTATAGACCAATTGTTAGACCAAACTCAAAAATATGGTAATATCTTTTTAATTTTATTTTTATTTTTTGAGCAAATATTCATCAGTATATGCACCTGTATGTCATGAATTGTATGTCTGTCTACTTGTTTGGGTACACTTGTTTTCACAATCTGAACAATCTTGCAATTATTGAAAACTTCACTCTCCAAATTTAATGCAAAATGTTAAATATTTTCCCCACTTAATTTTTGTCCAGAGTTTGAAGATGACCCTGACCTTTATGTGCTGAAGCCTGTAAAATATGTGGGAATTGAAGTTTGGCAGGTAATTATCATGAATGTTCTTGTGTTCTTTGATAAGATTAACAGTGCAAATTAAAGTTTATGATATCTACAGATTATAATGTCATTCCAATAGTTCATGTCATAGGCCAACATTCTTCAACCTATGGCATCATATTGTACTTTTTCTTAATTGAAATTTAGTTATGTTAGAATAAGTGGATCAATCATTGCATTGCAGGTGAAGGCTGGCTCAGTTTTTGACAATATCTTGATTTGTGATGATCCACAATATGCAAAACAAGTTGTAGAAGATATTTGGGCCAGTAACCGGGAGGTGAGCTGCTGTTTTCTGATATTTCTTTTTCCTAAGTTTTCGTTTTCTTTTTTTCACGAGATTGATGTTAAGACCTCTTATACATATCTGTTATTTCCCACTTCTAACCTTTTTCAGGCTGAAAAAGAGGCATTTGAGGAGGCAGAAAAAGTGAGGAAAGCTCAGGAAGAAGAGGTTTAGTGAACTTTCCGTACTGGGTTTTGCAATTGATGTAATAATTATTCTCAATTTTACTTTCTGAATCTTTGTAAAAGTAATGTGGATTATTTTGTGTAGGAGGCTAGAAGAGCTAGAGAGGAAGGTGAAAAGAGGAAGAGAGAGAGGGATCGCCGGTATGAAGAAAGGAAGCAGCGCAGAAGGGTAATGTGTCTCATGATTTCTTCTAATCCATGTTCTTTTTTTATTTAGACTGTAATTTGCTTCTTATTGTAATTGTTAATTTGATTTAAGACAATCATCCCTAGTCTTAATTGATTCTTTTTGCTCTTATTTGTTTCGAGGAAGTGAAGTCCTCTATTAATTGCTTATTTGATGTCTCATTTAGCCAAGTGTCTTTGGTTCATTACATTGAATTTTTTGTATCTTGTAGAGCTTCGCAACAATTTGGTTTTTTGGGGTAGAAGTATTTGTCAAAAGAAAAAAAATGAGGAACCACATACATGAAGAAATTATGGCTTGTTTTATTTTCCTATTGGATTAAGAAAAGAGAAAGAGAATCTTTAGACCATCCTTGAAAAATCTTATTTTATAGATGAATAAGTTTGATGAAAGCAAATTGTGAAAAACATGTTTGGAGAAGACTAAATTGGCTATTATCTTTGAGTGAATAACCCGTACGGGTTTGTTCTGTCAGTCTCTTGTCAGGAAAAAAACAAAAAAATTAATGGCTAAATAAATGAGGATGTAGGTTTGGAGGAAAACATCTAGTTGGTTGAATGGTCCTTTATTTGGCCTTGAAATATTTAACATATATGGTTCACATGTGAGAATTGAATATTTGGTTATAGTAATTACAATGACCGTGATGCTTCTATTGCTTTTGATAAAACATGAATTTGATCTCAAAAATTTTGTTTTGCAGCGTGACCGCTATGACTTGGACGATTACCATGTAAGCATGAAAGAAACTCTCTCTTCTTCGTTTTTTATTTTCCTCATTCTATCCATCCAAAGAGTATTTTGCTATTTCTGGTGATTGATGTGGAATATGGGGCTGCTCAACCTTCACCTCCCATTTATTTCGTGCGATGGAGAGCCTTATCTCTGCACCTCATTTAATTACTTATCATAAAGAATAGGGAAGTAAAAATGAAATCAATTAATAAACTTGTAGTTAATGTTTGGATTGAGGGCAATAGTGTATTCAGTACAACAATGCAGGTGATGAAACTAGCATATTTTACATTACACCCGAAATACAAGCGATTATTGCTAACTATTTCTATTGGCACTTGTGTTGAAACCTAAAATCCTTGGACTCTTATGCTATTCATTGAATACAACTAGAGTGAATTCTGAGGGCTTGATAAAATACCATATGAGATTTTCTACTTCCTTGAGATTTTAGCATTTAAAAATCCGCTAAGTGAGTATGGGGGTTTTCCAGGAGCGTTTGAAGTGAGAATATCATCATGCTAATATTCCCCTAGGCTTTGTTAAGTGGGGTCAAGGGATTTCTGGCAACGAGTGTAAATATTGTTATGCGAGTGACTGATGTTCATATAGCTCTAAAATCAAGTACTCTTGACAGAAACCCTGAAATATTTCCTTTTTTGATCTTGCAGGATGAACTATGAGCTGGATGTTCTCCAATTTTCAAGTATGTGTTACACTACTTAAAAACCAAGAGTGTTCCACATTTCCTGAGGCAGAATTGTTCAGTATGTGAAATATTTAAAACTCAATTGTTGTATAATTCTCTTGTTGTTTGTTTTAATATCATTGTCAACTTGGAAATAATTTCCCCATTTTGATAAATTGATTCACTTACTAGGTTTTATGGGGACTGGATTCCATGTATTTTCACATTAAATTTAACATTTATATTCAAATATTAAAGGGAAACTTATCATTATTGGATATTTGTGTTTTTAAAATTTATACTATATATAATGATAAGTGTATTTCCCTCGGGCTGATGTCATGTACTCGAATTAGAATATTGAAATAAGAAAGGGTGCGTTTGGTTTAGTATTTTGGATAGGATTTTAGGGATAATATTGAGTTATTGGATAGGGGAGTATTACGAGGTAAATTTTAAAAATTTATGAAAAAGCCCTTAGGTTTACTAATTTAACTAAAGACTCTAACATATAAAATGACAAAAACACCCCCACCACCTGCAGTGTCAGATTCCGGCCACCACCGTCGGAATCTGGCCGGAAAATTTCGTTACGGCACAGACCGGTCGGATCTGTGCCGTAACACGTCGTTATGGCCTTTTCCGGCCAGATNCCAAAAAAAAAAAAAAAAAAAAACCTTGCATACTTAGTTAGTTTGACTATGTAATTAAAAAACAGTGTCTTTCACTAGTATAAAGTACATTTGCACACTCATCTATACATACAAAATATAACAGCATATGAGGAATGAGAACAATCTCGTTTTTTATGTTATTTATTATTATTTTTTTTTTTATAGAGGTACCTAGTTATACAATATATAAATCTTAAACATGTATAGCACAAGAAAGCTCATAGATGTAACTCTAAGATAGAACCAGAGTTTGTCCGCGACTTATATATTATGAGACCTATTGTTTTGCAAAATGGCCTATATATATGACAAACTTGAGGGTTATTTGTAATGGCGTTTTGATTTAATATTTTGTGAAAAACAAAAAGTCACTACCAATAAGTTCTTAACTAGATAACAAAGAGAATATACAAGTAGATTATTTTTTTAGTATGCTCTAAAGATTCTGATGATGTAAAGGTAAAGAGCTCAAGAAGAGAGAACGACAAATATATTTCTTTTAATTAGAGTACAAGGTAATTATTGAGATATTAAATTATTAACAAACATAGTATTATAAAATTAAAATATCAATAAAATCTATCATTTTATTAAAACAGATGAATTTGGTAAAATCTCACCTATCATGTGGGATTTTAACACCCAAGAATTGAAAGATTCTGGAGGGTGGTGGATTTTCCAAAATCCATGTATTTCAATTATTATTATTTTTAAATCAAACGAAGGATTTTACCAAATCCATGGATTTAACGAAATCAGTTATTTAGAATCTCTCAATTCAGATGAAGCTTTAGTGTACTTCACTCATGTTGATGTGATATACTCGAATTAGAATATTAAAATAAATAAAAATATCATATAGTGGCAATTTTTGTTCCTTTGGATTAGAATGAAGACTTGCAGCTAAATATAAGATAATATTTGTTTAATGCTCTTTTACCAAATCTATGTTCATTGATGTTGTTTTGGTCAACTGAAAATTGAGAAAATCTAATATGGATATTGGTAGGGATTCTCTTTTCTTACCTACTTTTATGTAAATCAAATATATGCAAAATGGTTAACAATAAAATTACAATTAATTTGTAATAAAAAAAAAAAGTTACAATTAATTTTATGATATTGTAAAAAGATATTATGTATATTCTTTTGTTAAAGAAATAAGAAAAATATATTTTATATCAATTAGAAAACGAATGGTATATATCATTGAGTGCACCCAAACTTTTTAATAATTATAGAAAATTCCTTATAATTATTAAAAATTCCTCAAAACAAAGAGATTTTTAATAATTTTATGGAGTTTTTAGAATTTATAATTTGACAATTTCGGAAAAGCTTTAATATGCTCAAATTAATGATCATTATATGAAATCAATCTAAGAAATAAATATATCAAATATGATTTACTAAATAAAAGCACCAGCCTCCTTGGATTATTATTTAAAAATTTTATTATGGATATTTAAAATTAAAATTTCCCTTAAAAAATAATTTTTTAGGATAATTCCCTCTAAATAAACGTATTTTATAAAATAAAAATAAAAATAAATAAATAATGCTGTCGGTGACAAACTTACATCCTAAAGTTGGTGACACAATCATAGCTCTACCCCACCCAACATGTAATGTTTTTAATTAAATATATTATCTCCCATAAATTCAATTACAATATTTTGAACATTTTAAAATTTTAAGAAATATTTTTGATGAATTTCATAACTAATAATTTTTTTATTTTGATAAATTTAATTAGATTTCAATAATATTTTAGTAAATACTAAATAGTGAAACCTTGGTGACGCATCTCCCATGGAGCATTATGAATTTCAAGATAAAAATTAAAAATCTATATATGATAAATTAATAATTTTATAAACTAATATATATGAATTAATTTAGTTTTTTTTTTTTTTTAATGGTTTTCATCATTAGAAGTAAGGTTATCAACAAATTATATTTAAATTTTGTATAAATGTTTACCAAAATATTCTTAAGGATTATTTAAACAAATTATAGAATCAATAAAATCTGTATGAAATTTTAACTAAATCTTATGATTAGCTATTAATAATCAAAGTTCGAATTACTTTTTGGTCCTTCAAGTTTAGTCTATGCAATTAAGGTCTTGTAAAATCTAAAAGTAACACTTAGGTCATAATTGTTTGGGGTGAATGGACAAAGGAATGAGAATCTTATTCATGTTGCATAAGGAATACAAATCTTATTCCTTAAAAAAGAGTAGAGTGGGGTTCCTCCCAAATTATGATTTTTACCTATAATGGATAGCTAAAAAAAATGCTTTATTTACCCCTTCTTACAATTATGATTTACAATTTTACCCCTAAATCAATTTTTTAAAATTTTAAGTTATTTTATAATTCAGTAATTATTTTATTAAAATATTAATAATTCAAAATTTTGAAAAATCTTCAAATCGATCAACGTCGGACAGATTTGTTAGACTTCAAATTTTTGTCACGTAGTTGGCATGTGAGCAATCAGTTGTCGATGAGCTTGCCGAGACCGGAGGCTTTTGACTCTCCACATGTCGACATTGATGTTGGAAGCGTAGGGCAAATTTACCAACCGACGAGTTTGACCAGCGTTGACTGGTTTGAGGTTTTTAGAATTTTTTGAAATTTTCAATATTTTTAATTTTTTTGAAATTGAAATTTTACATTTAAACAAAATAAATATATTTATTAAATGGAATAAATTAATGACACTTTCTTCCAAAAATGACAAATTGTTTTCCATTCCATCAACATTCTTTATTTCAAGCAAACAAAATACCTTTTATCCCATCTATTTGTAATCCACAAACCAAACATGGTCTTAGGTCCTTCTTAGTTAGATTTTTTTTCTTAAAAGTCTAAAATACCCTTACTCTAATCTTATATAAATGACATAAAAAAATTATAAAAATTAAAATGGCTTTTAAGTTTTAACCGAATATTTCATTAAATGTTTACAACAATTTTGTTAATTATAATAAAGTAAAAATTAACATATTAGAGGTATTTTAGACTTTTACATTAATTTTTTAAACAAATGCTAACTAATCTAATAAAGAGCTAAGTGTTACTTTCACATTCTATTGGACCTTATTGTTATTTAGGCTAAACCTTGATTCAGTCTTCCTTAATCTATGGCTCAAGAACACGAAGATCATTGTGAGATTCTTTAAGATGGCTTTAATTCTCTTCATCAATTATTGAAGCTCACATTATATGATAAAAATAAAAATAAAATATAACTCATTGATGCCTTTAATGATTCATACAAAAAGCTTAAATTATATGATAATATCATCAAATTAAAAGAAAAAAAAATGATAAAAATAAAATAACACGATAATAACATAACAAAAGAATTTACAAAGAAACTTACGAAAACTAAAAAATTCTACATCCTATAGATAGGGATACCGAAAAATTTTCCGAATCAAGAGTTTCTATTAAACATCAATCGAAATTATTAAATCTTTCGATCCAATTTTGTTTAAAAAAAATTCATAATTCAAGTTATTAAGAGCAATAAAAGAGAAAATAGCGTATATTTACAGTGTAGTCATTAACTTGATTTTATTTCCAATTTTGTCCTTTTTCTTCACTCGGTGTACTGTTACCGGTAACACCCACCCATGTTTAAGTAGACGGGTGGTGGTGGTTCCTATTTAATAAATTCAATAAATAAACCCAATAATTTTTCTTTTTCTCTCCACCAAATAAATTAATCCATTAATCCAAAAATCAAAAATAAAAAAAATACGAAAATTCGCAACCCAACAAAAAAATTAAAATTAAAATAATAAAAAAGGGATTCCTTGACCCCCCTGAAATTTAACAANTTATAGTGGGCAGAAAAATCCTGAAACGAAGTGATACAAAATAACATTAACATATCCAACAATAACAAAATCTTGTTAAATGATTGATTTTGTTTTGATAGAATGGTATGATGATATGTTGTTCTCTTCATGATCCGCAGCATGTCCTGTAAATTTTGAGGAAAAGAACTACACCATCCTTACAAGCCAGTGCAAAGGACCAGATTATCCTGCTGAGACATGTTGTACAGCTCTTAAGGAGTTTTGTTGCCCTTTCGTGGATAAAATTAATGACATGAAAACTGATTGTGCTGCAACCATGTTCAGCTACATAAACCTCCGTGGAAAATTCCCACCTGGCCTTTTCTCCAGCAAATGTCGTGAAGGGAAATACGGTCTCACCTGCCAATCCGTACCACCTCCGGCACCATCACAAAGTCATGCAGCAGCTACTCAGTACACATTGTGGATGCTCGCAACTGCCTTTCTGGCATTGTTTTTCTTTATGCACTGAATGTCGAAAGGTGAAAAACCACTATACATAAGTAAATTCCTTTTCATTTATTAATTTTTCTCTTTACCTCAAATATGACTTCCTCAGGAACACATTTTCAAATGATGTGTTCACCAAATTGTACCAATGCTACCGAATAATATGATATCATAATGTTTTTTTTTTTTTTTCCAATTTTTTTTTTAATTCCAATATATATATATATATTTTTTTTTCTGTTAATGTTGTTACTAGATTTGCATGATAAGAACTGTAATTTGATGCTGTTTTAGTAAAGGATAATTTGATGTAAAATTTAAATTTCATTACACAAGTACATTATAAACAAATTGAGTCCAATGGGGTGTGATTTTGATATGATTCTCAGCTTAGTCTTTGGTAAATGGCTGGAATGTCAAATGGTTATATTATTGATATGCTCTCGTGAATTTTTTAATGATTGTATGGACAGAATGCATTAGTTATATACTTGTGAACCTCAAGTACGTTATAAGCAAAGTGGCTCTGATGGGGTGCTGTAAGTTTGTGATTTTGATATGAATCCTAGCATAGTCTTTTCTAAATGGCTGATAGGTCAAATGGGTATTTTGTTGATACGTTGTAATGAATTTTAGATGGTTTTATGGAGTACTTTATTAATTTGTGAACTTTCAAGTACACTATAATTTTAATGTTGTGATTTGGATGCAAACTTAGCATGGTTTTCTTCAATGGCTGATAGATCACATGGGTATTTTGTTGATGTGTTCTTATGAACTGCAAATGTTTTTATGGATAGAAGTCAAAAGTTATCTGCTAGATGATTTTGTGGTAATTAATTTTGGTCAATTTGTTTTCTTGTATTTTAGGGGACAAGCGGGCTTTGTGTATTGCCAGGGACAAGGCAACTTTGCTTTAGAAAGGGCCTCTTGTATGGTTTTATGAGGCTGTTATCAATACCATTCAAGACATTGCATTTAGCTACAAGTCGATCGCTTAGAGTTGCTCAGTTTTGCAGTGTTTCCAACATGTCTTCATCGCTGCAAATTGAATTGGTGAGTTTATATCTTGTTTCAGAATTTATGCATAACAGATGCTTCATGTAGGTTTTAGTTTTTTACTAACTGTTTTTACTTTGTTGTTTAGTTTGTGAAGGTTTCTCATCATCTTTTTGGCTTTATTCGATCAGAATGGGAGCGTCTTTTTTTATTTGTCTCATACAATACTTGAAGTACCTTTATTTTAATTTACAGAAGGATCTTCTAAATAATCTGCTGGATTTGATGGAGAATATTAAAGTTAACACTTCGTTAGCACTCCTTATTTGTATCAGATAAGTGATTTGGTCGTAGCCAAATGTCCCATGATTGGTTGTCAATATACTCCAAACGACAACTGAAATTGTCTTTTGTGGTATTCCTAAGCCCTCCTCTCTGTCCTTTCTTGTACTCTCTTAGGTTAGTGTAGTACGAAGAGGTAGTTCTGTTAGCTATATTATTGATAAGTAAAGCTACGCAGGGATGAAACTTCTGGGATAGGTCTATAGTTGCATCTCTATATCTTTTCTTATTTCCGCTAGATAATTACTTTCTTATTTCAGGTACCATGTCTCAGAGACAACTACGCGTATCTTTTACATGATGTGGACACAGGCACAGTTGGAGTTGTTGATCCTTCTGAAGCTGTACCTGTTATAGATGCTTTGAGTAGGAAAAACCGGAATTTGACTTATATACTAAATACACATCATCATCATGATCACACTGGTGGGAATATGGAGCTAAAAGCAAGGTACGGTGCAAAGGTATGATTATGTTATCACTCTCTCCTTTTCTTCCCCAAATGAAACTCCGAATGAGTAATTTACTCTTGAATGAACATCAACTTGTAAATCAAAAGAATTATTTGTAAATTAAGTCAGGGGTTCACGCATATTACATCTCCTGCAAAGTGCAAATTCTACTTCGAATTTTTGCGTTTATCCAATATTATTGGTTTTCAGTTCATGTGAAGAATGGTGCTTTTGTCCAATTTGTTTCTTTCAAAGAAAACCCTGATCTGTCTCTAAGATTGAATTCTCCATAAAGTTTGCAGATGATGATGGCTTGTGCTATGGCAGCTTGAAGTGGGACATCTTTTATATGAGTCTGTTCCATGATGACTATAAGTTTTCTGAAATTTATGCTTTCCTTTGTTGTTTGTAGGTGATTGGCTCAGCAATAGACAGGGATAGGATTCCTGGCATTGATATAGTTTTAAATGATGGAGACAAGTGGATGTTTGCAGGTCATGAGGTGCATGTGATTGAAACTCCTGGACATACCCGAGGTCATGTTTCATCACTCAAATCTCATTATGAAATCCTCTGATGATTTTAGAAGCATTTTATAACTTGGAAACATAGATGAAAAAAGTCATGTTTTTATTTTTTTTTTGTTGTGTGACTGCTATTCTTGACACATTTTAAATACCCAGTTTATAGTGTTATATTTTATGATTCCAAAGATTATTTGCTTGTATCATAATTTTTTTAATTTTTTCAATTTAGAATTCATTGATAGCTTTATAATTAAGCAATATACAAAAAGTGAAGATCGTATACCTTTTCCACAGAATGTTAATTTGGTACTTGTAGTTTTTTTTTTTTTTTTTCTTTTTTTAAATAGATAAAGAGGCATTGATGGTAAATGGTGATGGCATGATGCATTATGGCTACATCTTATCTATAATGGACATCCTGACCACTCATATTATGGTGGAGACTTAAAGTTTGAAATTGACATTTTCAGAGTGCCTTGAATAGTTGAATATTGCCTGACATAAAATTTTCTTCAAAAGTCAGCTCCTTATGAATGTAGTCTTACATGTCACCGTGGACCTTGGTACAGATTATTTCCCTTTTTCTAACTCACTTTATGTTTCAATTGCAAACAGGTCATATTAGCTTTTACTTTCCTGGATCAGGGGCAATTTTTACCGGAGACACTTTGTTCAGCTTATCATGTGGCAAGCTTTTTGAAGGAACCCCTGAACAGGTAAATATTTTACATGGACATTCTATTTTGATTGTTCATCCCTCTTATGTGAAGAAGAATAACTGCCACCCAATACTTATTTGAGCGTTTGGAGCTGAGAGTGCATTTACAAAAGAGTAGAGGAAAATAAGGTGGAATATTTGTTAATTATATGAAATAAGAAAATTGCAAGGACTTGAGCTATATTGATGATGTTGTTGCTAAAAAATAATAATATATAGTTTGTAAATGACTTCGCTTTTTTAGCGAAAACAGAAAACTCATTGTTATTATGGTTCTCTATGTTGCAGATGTTTTCTTCCCTTCAAAAGATCATGTCTCTGCCAGATGATACAAGTATCTATTGTGGTCATGAATATACATTGGTTAGTCTCTCTCTCTCTTAATTTTTCCCTTCTTCTTTGGCACTCTGGTGGTGCTCACTTAGTTATGTCAAGCTAAATTTATAATATCTTTAACTATGTCTACATATTGTGACAGAGTAATTCAAAATTTGCAATGTCTATTGAACCCAATAACGAGGCCCTCCAATCTTATGCAACCTATGTAGCCCAACTTCGCAACAAGGGCTCGCCCACGGTAATTCCTTTGACTTTCTTCTTTCACTAACAAATTATAAGTTTCTTAGAGAACTTAATTTCTTGCATTTATGTGATTTTACATTCTGAACAGGAGGCCTAATTGTTTGAAACAAGGGTTCTTTACTTTATCATGGATTTGTCTTAGAAGTGAGATAGAAACATTGAATATAAGGAGCTATAAGTTTACACGGTTGCAATTGTCACGTTCCATGTTACCAGTTTTACGACCCCATTTCATAACAAAATCCAATGAGATACTCGTCTTTCTTCATTAGTTTCATTTCACCTGGCCATGGATGTTTTCTTGTTCTTATAATTTGGCTGGCTTTGGTGTTGTTTCAGATTCCAACCACCCTAAAGATGGAGAAGTCTTGTAATCCATTTCTTCGCACTTCTAGTCTGGAAATACGGCAGTCATTAGGTATTCCGGATGCGGCAAATGATTCGGAAGCCTTAGGTGTCATCCGTCGCGCAAAGGATAACTTCTAAGACTTCTCGCTAAGGTTAGGATCAAGAGCGTTATTTTTTTTTTACACAAATTATGACACAACGCTTCCACTGAGGGATTTACGCACTCTAAAATGGATTAAATTTTTGAGATGCGTCTATTTTCCAAATTAGTGTCATAATTTGTGTAAGAAATTAAAAATGTTGCTGATCTTATTATTATTTGTAATATTATCTCTTTGTATAGAGAGGTGAGTTTTTGATACATATTTCAAATAGAACACCAATGTAACCCCTTTTTTTTTCCTTCTCAAGAATTTGAAGTTTTTTTTTTTTTTTTAATTATTTGAATTTTTTGCATTTTGCTTCATTTCTTGACCAATTGAAATCATAAATGTCTATATTTATTGTTGAATTTCTTTTGATAAGATAATGCATTTAGCTTATTTTTTAAGCTAGAGTTTATTTTACGAATGGGGTTTCTGTTAAAATTTTATATTTATTAGTCATTAAATTGCCAATTATAAAAAAGGATTAATCATTTAATTGCCACTTGTTTTCTATAATTGAGATTTGAAAATAGGGATTAATTATAAAATAAGTCACTTATAATATTGAATATGTAAAAAAAATATAATTACAGTATTTATATTTAACCTGTTTTTTAAACACCATTGGATTGAAAAAGATGAAAAGCTCAGAAAAAGTCAATTTTTTTTATTTATATATTTAATATTTTTCATTAACTATCATTGGGTGGTCCAACGGTTAATTAGGACTTTTGACTTTGAGTGTATTATTCAAGAGGTTTTAAGTTTGATTCACCTGAGTTATTAATATGAGTGATCATTGAGGGGATTGTCAATTTCAAAATCTCAGAAGACTAGTTGTAGTATAGACAAACTGATTGTTAATAGGGGTAATTACTGAGGGGATTTACTCGGTGTAAATTTTAGAGTCTTAGAAGATTAGTTAAGGTCCGTGTAAGTTGATTTGGATATTTCCGGTAAAAAAAAGAAAAAAAAGTTGATTTTTAAAATTAATTAATAAAAATACATAGATTTGTAGGGTTGTTGAAGAAGGTGGGCAATACTCAATAGCATAAATTAGTCAATTTTCAATCCCCTTTTGGTTTGCCAACCAACCAACAACCTTTGCAAAAAGAAATGGGAAAAGACATTGTCACTAATTTCATATTACATTTCACTTTATATAATACTAAAAGATTGTGATTATTATGCCCCATTAATTTGTATTGTGTTACAAAAACATTTAATAAAAATTATTAAAATTGAAACATTATTTATTTACAAATAATATTTAAAAAAAATAAAATAATTTAATGTTTCTTCATGCTTTCAAGTCAAGAAACCCAATTAATGAAATATTTATTTGGTGGTACTTTTTAGATGTGGATAGGTTCGCCTAACACAACCTCCCCTTTAGCTTCATTTATTTTATTTTATTTTTATATTAGTTAATTAATTAATTTATCTTCACCAATAAATTGACATAACTTTCTCCTTTTCAAGAAACTGACATCATATATTCCTATGATTGTGACTCCCATTTCAACCACTGTTTAGCTAAATATTTATAAATTTATCATCAAAATTTCATATATATATATCCTAAACTATATTCTAAAATTATCATCTTAATTGATGTGTCTTTTATGTATCTACTTGGTTAAATTAAAAATGGAGTTGTTATAAACTTATAATCCTACACACCCGATAAATACAAAAAAAAGTTTTTTTTAAACCTAGTATATTACACTCTCCTTCAATACAATAACCATTTTAGATATTTAACCATTGTTTATATTTATAAATTTATTTTCAGATTTAATATAAATACAAATAACAATCAACATATATATATATATATAAAATTTGGGGTGTTCGAGCTAGATTAAGCGCATCTCAACTAATCTTTTGAGATTTCGAAACTATTGACTGAATAAGAATTCTAATGACTATCTTTATTAGCAATCGAAGAAGGATTAATATCCTGAATTTTAAGGTCATGCCCTCGACCCCTTCAAAAGTGAGTTCATATATTCTTATAATTGTGTTTAACCTTTATGCATATAGGAAGATACTTGATTCTTTTAGAGGTTATTATTGTATACATCCTTTTTATCTACTTTAAGTTGGACTCAAATATCTTTAAACCTAACCATATAGAATATAATGTTAAAAATAACTTTTAGGTGCAACAAATAAATTATTTATAGATTGGTTTAATAGAATCTTATAATCGTTTTTTATATATTTTTAATTAATATTTTCATAAGAAATTTATAAGTTTCAAATGTTTTGGTAATTTTTGAAAACTATAAAATACTCTTACCATTTACAGAGGTTTTTGATAATTTAATAGTGAAGTTTTTAATAACTACAAAATTTTAAGGATTAATAACGATAATCTCTTATCGGTATACTTAAATAACATTATGATTATAGAAATAATAGAGATCTTCCTATCGTTATTTTTTTTATGTTAAAATAAATGATAAAAATGTTAGATAAATATTTATTAATTCATCATACTGTGAACTTTAACCATATACCAGCAGCAATTTTTTTTTTTGTTATTTATGAAATCTCAGACAAACTTTTGTTAACTGACTAAATTTCATGAGGGTCGAGGAAAGCTCCTTTTTAAATATTTAATAATTTTTAAAATTAATAAAATATTCTCTATTTTTTTTAAATGATCATGCAAACGACATTATATACGTTTGATCGTATCATTAAAAGCAATAAATTTCAAAGAGGCCCACAGTATGATTCCGTAGGCCCGCACCTATAAATACTCCACAGTCAACAAAGCAAAAGCGGCTCATAAAACGTCTCTCTATGCACTAAACACTAAAACTTCTTTTCCCCGCCAAACCGAAAAACACACACACACACACACAGAGGCTCTCTTTCGTCGAAACGACACGCTGTTTCGCTTTTTTGAAACAAAAAACGCGAAAATGGTGCTAAACGACGTGCCGTTAAACGCGATCCCTACCACGTGTGTTGTCCTCAACGGCCGAGGATTCGTCGGAAGATCGCTGGTGTCTCGTTTGCTGAGACTCGGCAACTGGATCGTCCGAGTCGCCGATTCCGCTCAGCCTCTCCAGCTCGACTCCTCCGAGTCCGACTCGCTCCTCGCCGATTTTATCTCCTCCGGTCGCGCTGAGTACTGGCGAGTCGACGTTCGCGATTTGTCTCAGATCAAACGAGGTTTGTTGAAATTAGAAGCGTTATTGGATGATGTATGTACTTAAGTTATGTTTGTATGTATGTATATGAATGTGTTTTTATGTGTTTTGGTTTCTGAGAAAATGGAGGAAAAGAATATAGTAGAATTTAATTGTTTGGACTTTTAATTGGATTTTATTATATTTTTTAAGTTTTAACTAAAGAGTATTTGGAGACAGAAAAAACAAATAAATTAAAAAGGTATATATATATATATTATGTTGTTCGTATGTATATTGCACTGGTTGCTGAGAAAATTTGATAATGGTATTATTGAATTTTAGTGATAGAATTATGATTTTTGTAAAGCAGTGTTTGGTTGCTTAGAAACTTGAGAAGTGGAGAAAATCAGAAAATGTTTTAGTTATTATTGTTTTGCTTTTGTTACTGTCTTTTTAGCTGTTATCCAGTTCCTAGACTTGCTGTTGAAGATAACTTGTGTGTTACACTTTATATCCACATTTTGCAGCTTTTGAAGGTGCTTCTGTTGTGTTCTTTATGGATAGCAGTGATTTGGACACCAGTGATTTCTACAATTGCTACATGATCATAGTTCAAGGTAATTAGGATATCTTGATGAAGTGAAGATCGTAAACATAAATTGTGGGTCGTAATAGTTTATTGAATGCAATGATAATAAATCGGTGTTTTGGTAACGTTCAGTGTCACACTTTTAACATTTCATTTGCTAACATATTATCATCAATTTAGCATGACATTATGTGTTAGAAGTGTTATGTTGTATGTTACCAAAATGCACCATTCTGGTGATTTTATTAGGATGGATATCCCTCTAAATAATTTTTAATGGAGTATTAATGGTTTGCAATTGGACCTAACATTCAGGTGCAAAAAATGTGATCAATGCTTGTCGAGAGTGTCAAGTTAGACGGCTCATATACAACAGTACAGCAGATGTAGTGTTTGATGGTTCACATGATATTTATAATGGAGATGAATCCTTAACATGCCATTGGAAAGTAAGTTCTTCTGCTTACTGCATTTCTCTTATAAAATGTTCTTCTGACATGTCTAATCATCCTTTGATCTTTTGACGTATACCTGATACAGTTTCAGAATATGATGTGTGACCTGAAGGCTCAAGCAGAAGCTCTAGTTCTGTTTGCTAACAATATTGATGGTCTTCTGACATGTGCTCTTCGTCCTAGCAATGTTTTTGGACCAGGAGATAAACAGTTTGTGCCTTCTCTAGTGAATTTAGCTAAATCTGGTTGGGCAAAGGTTTGATATTTTATGTTTGATTAACTTTTGCTTTCTTTTATGCGGAATTTTCTCTAAGTTGTCAAATGTGATGGAAATATTTTATTTGAAGTATACTTGATGATATTTGACTACAATAATAGACCTTTTTTCTTTTTTGAACTTTATTTTGTTTTTTTACTTTTATCCCCAACCCTGTATTATTGATGATTCTAGGATTTGCCCTCAGATCACAACCTGATTATATTGAAGTACATTTTTATTTAAGAAACTATAAACTTTGTATTAAAATAGCATTTGGTTTTGTATTTCTTAGGTCCATGTAGTGTTTTCTTTGGTCTTTTTTAAGTAACAGGATTTCTCATTTCAGTTTATCTTAGGAAATGGTGAAAATATGTCGGACTTCACCTATGCTGAGAATGTTACTCATGCTCATGTCTGTGCAGCTGAAGCTCTAGATTCACGAATGGTCTTTGTGGCTGGGAAGGTATCTATATTTTGGACATTACTGAATATTTATATTTTTTTTTTCCAAGATCAGTGCATAAGAAAGATTTCTTCTTTCAATTAACATGTAGGCTTTTTTCATCACCAATCTCAAGCCTATGAAGTTCTGGAAATTTGTATCTCTTATATTGGAAGGCTTGGGATATCAAAGGTAAAGTTGCATTCTGATTTTGTTATGTTAGAATTTCCGTAGAAGCATTAGCTGACATTAACTGAAATACTGCATTTACAATATCATTATAGTGGAACATTGCATTCTGGGAAAAATTTAAGTTGGTTCTTGTCTTCTTTCTTGCTTGATTTGATTCCATTTGTTAGAAACTGAAAATAAGTTACCAGTTACATACAAACTCATTCTTGCATACGTATATGTGGATGGTTAGAACAAACATCAACCTTATTTTTACTAATTCATCCGTTTGATAAATGAAACAAGGATGCTAGACAACTTGAAATGGGTAAATATATGATTATGATGTTATTTTCATTTGTGGCGTTCTTTATAGTCTCTTGTGCTGCTGTATTACAGGCATGGACTAATTCTTTATTTCTTTTTTATAACTACTTTCTTGGATTTTTTATTACAAGGATCTGAACTTGAGCTGCTTCTTCTTTTTATTGCAGACCGTTTATAAGACTTCCTATTAGTTTGGTTTCGTATATCTACTTGCTTGTCAAATCGACATGTGAAAGGTTGGGCTTGAGATCACATAACCATTCTCTGTCGGTGTTTTACTTTGTTCAATTAGCCACACACACCAGGACATTTGATTGCACTGCTGCGCAGAAACATATTGGATACTCACCAATTGTCTCCCTGGAAGTAAGTTTCTTTTTGGTTTTTGATGTCTTTCTTTATTCATATATAATATTTACCAACTGTTTAATTTTTCTTTTGTGTTATACGTTTAATGTGTTTGCTCTTTCTGTTAGCCTTTTTATCTAATTTTAAATACCTTGGTTTCTTGGAAAGTATGAAGTCAAATTCTATTATCCTTAGGACCTATATTACAAGACTTCTAATTTGATTAAAATTGGAAATGTTGGCATTTTTTATGTGGTTGCATCTTGTTTTCTGATCTTATTGTCATGTAGCCTATAGAAAGTAGAATTATATTATTGTATAGAGTACCTAAGGAAAAAGAAAGGTGACGAGGAATAATCGGTTAATTGATAATGACAGAAATGTCCAAGATGGAAGAATTGTCTTCTACATTCAGCTCTTTGTTTCTCAAAATTTTTTGTATTAAGAATCATTATGGTGGAAAAGGATGAATATCATTAGGTATGGTTGGATTGGTGGTTTCCTTCTCCACATTGAAGTTCTATACAGAGTTTGTACCCATCATATGAAGCTCCCATCAAGCAAACATAATCAAACACACACACACACACAAAAAAAATTGGATGTACTATAATTATTTTGTGACAATTTAATCGTATATTGGGTGGTTAGGTAGCACTATGTAATGGGTTGATTGAAAATTTGAAATTTACTCTTGGTGAGGAATTGGTAAAAAATAATAGGGAGAGGAAAGTGGAGTCGAGGGCACGATTTGGTGAAGACTACTTTCTTGTTTTCGTTAGAAGGAACGTGTTTAAAGAAATTTGTTTTACCATCTATAATTGGATAAAAATGGGAGAGAAATTAGCTGTATACGTGGGGGTTTTTGGATATTTCAGGCACTTGAGATTTTCTTTTTCTTTTTACTATACATCCTTCATCTAACTTAACAAATGGATGAAAGGACTATCATGTTCTCTTTCCCATTACCATTCTCTGTCTTCAACTTCTAGCCAAAATAGTTTTGGATCTATACTTAGATTAACTGATTCCACTGCATAGCACATAGTAATATGGAGGCGACTTCTCCATTTTCTAGATGACATATCATTAAGGAGTATTTTGTCATGATGTGTTTGAATAGGATGTGGAAATTTTAAGGTCTGACATCTTATGTTTGTGATAATTGTTGGTTATGCAGGAAGGTGTCTCTTCAACCATTGAATCATTCTCTCACTTAGCCAAAGACTCACCTTTAGCGCATTACAGTGACTTAAATGAACAATCAAAAGTGGAAAAACTGCTAGGCGGTGGCAAAGGTTAGAGCTTATAACATGAGAAATTTCTTTAAATGGACTCTAAAGTGACCCTTTTGAAATTGTATGGCTGAAGATTACTTTCTTACAAGTCTATTAGTGTTCACTTGGTTATGTTGGGTGGCAAACCTAGTGGCTTGATATTAACATGATAGGAACATCAAAACTGTTCCAGGTATATAAAAAATATTTTGTTGGGTTTTGCTTGGTACAAGCCCTAATAATTTGCATCAGCACTCAAGTTGCTGTCTGATACTTGATATCTAGTTATGTCATGTATCACTGTCCGAAGGATATATGTTAATTGGTTCTATATATTTCTTTTTGTATTGATGAACGAGGCATTTTTGTGTGTTATTGGAACTGAAAGCTTATGTGCAATAAATTGCCCAAATGAGGTAAAATACAACTACTGATATTCACTAGAAGAGCTTGCTTTGTGGAACACGTTTCTAAGTTAGATTTTATCAGTTCATCATTTTCGATATGGTAAATTTCAATGGGCTTTGTATATCGAGTTCATTATATGATTACTACTGTAAATTGACGTTGAACTTTGTTGCTACAGTTGCAGACATTTTGCTTTGGAGAGATGAGAAGAAATCATTTACATACTTTTTCGCTCTGGTTGTGTTGTTTTACTGGTTTTTCCTTTCTGGAAGAACTTTTACCTCGTCTGCAGCCAACCTTCTATTGTTGGTCTCAATTGGTCTTTTTGGATATGGCTTTTTACCATCGAACATGTAAGTACAAAAGTTTGTGGCATAAAATCTTTTTCTTTTCCCTGGTTTTATCAGTCTTCCAACAATTGGCCATTTTTTCACACTTGTTGAAAGCTCGTTATTTACTTTCTAAAATTCTTTGACACAATGCATCTGGGATGCTCTACTTCTTCTTTTCTTGATTTGTTCAGGAATTTCTTAGTTTATGGTCCGGAATCTGAAGTGCTTTAGCATTAAAATTTATGTTTATATGATTTTTATTGGAGATGCAAGCTTTTGCCTTCACTATCCTCTTGCTTTTATCAGTTTATGTGGTTATATCGTCAAGTTGATTGTTTGGAAGATTTTTCAGGTCTGCTGACCTAGTTGTTATGCTTTCTCTACAGATTTGGTCTCAAAGTTCCAAGCATACCTTTGTCTAGTTTTGAGATCTCAGAAACTCTAATAAAAAATTCAATGGCAAGAATAGCATTTTTATGGAACCGGGGGATTTGGAATTTAAGAACATTGGCTAAAGGAGATGATGTGAATAACTTCATCAAGGTATATTTTGACACTGATTCTTCTGCCTTGCATGTTACATTAAAGTTCTTTGTTCTCATGTTTCATGTAAAATTTGAATTTTGGCATACGATTACTGGTTAATTATAAGTTATTTTCTCCCTTGCTATTCTTACAATTGTAAATTGTTGTAGTAAATATTTGTTATTTGATGGGTGTAGATCCAACATCAAATTATGTTGTTATCCTTTATCTCTTTTGCTCTATGCTCGATATTTACTTCATCAAATTTTGGGCTTTCACTGTTTTGAAATCGATTCAGGTAGTACTTGCACTTTATCTTCTCAAGCTAATTCTTTTGCAATCGTCCTTAACTGCCTTGATAGCCGTAGGTAAGGAATTTTTAATTTAGTTGTTCCACCATGATTTGATATCTTAATATATTTTCATCAAATTGACCTTCTCTGGAAATTTTATGCAGCTTTGGTCTTCTCCTTCACTGCATTCTTTGTTTACGAGCAATACGAATCAGAACTAGATGGCCTAGGAAAGCTCCTTCTTAATTGTAGAAAGAAATCAAAAACATTGTTGATATGCTATCTACCAACTCCCGTTGCATCATTTCTTCGTAACTATAGGATATTGCATGAACCCAATGCCCATACAGTGGTAAACGATTGGCAATGATTCCACGACTCGATGTTTTTCTCGACTGAGTTTTAAATTGTTTGTATATGATCTGGTAGCTTAATTAGGCTTTGTCTCAAAACTGTAGAGATGATTGTGTCCCCTAAAAAATAATATAGATGGGGTATATATTCATATAGTGCAAATTCGTTGTTAATGATGTTCAATCTTTTAATTGACCATTAGGTATCTAGTGTCTTTAATTGTCTGGATTACTCGAAACGTTGAATCTTATCTCAGCTGCTTAGCCAAAAGTCTGAAGTAGGAGAAATATTCTAAGTATCTTTTCGTTGACCATTAGATATATTTGCATTGAATTTGATGTTGTAAATTATTGAGAAGATGATCAAGGATATGTGAACTCCAAATATTCCAACATCATAAGTCATCTCACTTCAACCAAATAACAGAAGTTCGTATCGTATCCAACTCAATTTGAATCAAATTTGATCCAATGTTTTTGATAAAAAAATAACGATGCTTTTGGTAGTTGGCTTTGATGTAGCCATAGGCAATTCTATGGGCTCTAACAAGGCCATGTTACATGCATTGTTGGCCATACGGGCAATTCTGTGGGCTCTAACAAGACCAAAACCATAAGAATGAGGTGAAATTAAAAATAAACGAAGGGTCTTTATATAGATATCAAGCAGAATTCTGAAAAGTTGCTCGCATTCTAAAGGTATTAGATGATAAAATGCTTAATGATCTTTTATAGCCACTCCTTTATCACACTGTCAAGAGAATGTTTACATAATTAATTTGTTCCTGTAACTTATCACTGTCGTGCAATTTGTTTCTCACAGTAATGAGTTGCATTGTATAAGTAAACATTTGAAATGTTTATGCAAATTATAATTGTTCTACTATCACTTATCCAATTATTGTAAATGGATATCATTGTTTTTAAATTTTGTTGGCAATCAGGGTCATAATAGAGACTACAATGTTATTGGAAACACATTCATAACAGAAATTATTTACCGATAAACTAATGTGAAACATTACAATAGTATCATAAAGAGTTAATATATCAAGTCAACTGTTTTGAGGTTTATTATAATTATAAAAATTCTCTCAAGATTTTTGAAATAATAAGACTCCCGTTGTTATTGATAAATTATTAGTTTGTAGTTAAAACATATATTTATAAATTAATAAGTATTATTAAATTGCGCTCCTTATATTATTTTAACCTTTATAATTTAATATTAAAGATTTTTATTATTTCATATATTAGATTATTTTTATTATATCACACTTCAAAACCGTAAATATAACTCTTTTATATAATTTAGAATCAGTAATCATAATGAATTATATATAATATTATTTTAATAGTATAAATATTTCAACAAATATAATTAGCTTGATAATTTTGTTAATCTGATATGGAAAAATTATTCATATAACTTCTAAAAAGTAAAATCAATATTTTTAATTTTTAATATATCACATTTCGTCTATGTGACATATAAATTTTGATATATTTAGAATTTTGAAGAACAAATAGAAAAAAACATTTTTAATATATTTGTAAATTAGATTCAAATTTCAATAGCAGGATTTATTGAAATCTTATAATCTTACAAGGACAAAAGTTAGCTGGTTTGGTTTGTATTTTGTTTGATCAACTGGATAATTTTGGAATTATAGAAAACCCCCTGAAACCGAAGAGCAATCATCCGCCCCTGAACCTGAAAACACTCCCTACATGGCTTTGAGATCCCCCTTTCGTTCGTCTTCAATCTCTCGAAACCCATCTCTGAAAGCTAATATTTCATCTTTGTTTGCTCACTTACACAACCTCACAACTTCAAGCTCCAATGATGAAGTTTTGTATTCTTTTAAAAAACCCCTTGAACGATCCTCACTTGCTAAATTCCTCGAAGAAAATTGTCGATCATGTAACTTTACCCTGAATGAAGCATTGTACTTTTTCTATTACATGATTAATTCGCAACCCATTTTTCCATTTCATATCACTACTTGTTTAGTGCACTTGCAAGAAGAAGCATTATTATGAAGTGATTTCGCTTTATAGTGGTTGAATCCAACTGGTTGTCTTCAGATTTAATGTCTTTGACCGTTTTGATCGATTGCTTGTGTAAAATTGAAAGGGTTTCTCATGGTTTTACCCTTTTTGGGGAGATTTTGAAGAAGGGTTTCAGCCCAAATACTGTGATTTTAATTGTTTGATCAAAGGTCGTGTGTAGAAAGAAAGATTGTGGAGTCGATGGAATTGTTTCAGAAAATGGTTGCTGTTGGTTGTAGGCCTGATGTGACAGTTACAGCACTTTGATTGACGGATTGTGTAAAATGGGGAAGATAAGTGTTGCCATTAGTTGCTTGAAGAGATGGTTAATGGGAATAAGAAATCTGGTGTTATTTGTAACCAAATGTTGTTACTTATACGATATATTGATGGTCTTTGTAAGGCTGGATTAATTGAGAAGGCTAGAGAATTGTTTTTGGAAATGAAGGGTTCTGGAATCAGTCCAGACACAGTCGCTTATCCCACACTAATTCATGGTTTTTGTGTGTGGGTGATTGGGAGAAGGTTAGAAGTTTATTTATTGAAATGATAGATCAAGGTGTGCACCTTCTGTGGTGGACGTTTAGTGTGCTCATAGATGAACGTTGCAAGAAAGGGAAATTGCACGAAGCAAATAGGTTGTTGAGCTTATGATTGAGAGAGGTTGTGATTCCTGACATTTATACTTACAACTTTTAATGAATGATTGTGTAAAACAGGGAAGATAAGTCCTGCCATTAAGTTGCTGAAGAATTGGCCAAGGGAAATGAGAATCTGGTGTTATTTGTAGGCCAAATGTTGTTACTTATAATACTATAATTGATGGTCTTTGGAAGGCTGGATAGTTAAGAAGGCGATAGAATTGTATTTCGAAATGAAGAGTTCGGGAACTACTCCAGACGTAGTCACTTATAACATTTTGATCAATATGCTTTGTACACATGGACACTAGAAAAGGCAAATGAGTTGTTGTCACATATGGAGAAAAGGTTTTGCTCAAATATAATCACATTTATTACGCTCATGTTAGTTTCCTCAAGAATAATAAGATACCAAAAGTTGTTGAACTCCTTCATAAGATGGCGGAGAGAAATGTGAAGCCAACTGAATGTACAATGTCCTTAGTTATGCAGTTACTAATGAAGGCCGAAAATTATCGTGAATGTTTGAACCAGCTTCCCCAATTTCCGGTCCAAAAGCGAAATTGAAGTTTACGTGATAAAACTTTAGTGAGTATTATACTTTTTCTGGAGTAGAATCCTGCAAAAGTTCATCCAGCTGCCCAAATGCTCTATTTTGGTTACAGTAAGAAGAAAGTTCAGAAAACACTTTCATCTGTTCGAATTTGATAGGGAGGGTGATGGGGATGATCGAGAATGATGGCTTCCCTGATCAGACATACGATACGTGATCTGTCTCTATTATAAGTGCAAATAGTGCAGGTGGCATCATTGCAGGCCGCATCAGCATTTGCACATGAAGTAGGTCTTAAGGGTCTGAGGATTATTTCTGGTGCAAATTTCAGTAAGCAAAAGTTTTATCTGAGAAATTGTGGAATGGTTCTTGTTTCAACTATGACAATAATGGTAGCCGCTTAAGTGCAAAGGATGATAAATTTCGTTATACAAACCTGTTTTCAACTAGGCTTTGCAGTGAAATAACCGGAATAGTGACATTGCAGGAGAATGAGAATGATTTTTGACCAAAGTGACCATTTGGAGAGAAATGTATGCCAGTTTGTACAAGTTACAGGTGATTGTCTCAACATAAATGTGAATTGTCTTTTAAGCAGGCATTCATTGATAATTTTTTACACAATTTACATTTTCATTTGTTTAAATAAAGTATTAAAGTCAATTCCATCTTTACATTGTTTTGACAAGCTGGATGATTATAGGCACCCAGAGAACCTCAAGTGTGAATGCAGAAATCCTCCTTCATGTTTCGAATATTTAAAAAGAGATATTGATCATAAAGTTGTTGGATGATGACTTTACTAAGGTAAAAATATTGTTGGAATTCATATAGCTTTCCTTTCGGAAGAATGGAGATATTGAAGTGAAACTATTTGTACATTTAAGGCAAACTGGAAAACTTATTTTGTATAAGAGTGACAAAATGTTGATTTTTCAACTTTTTTTCCAAAAATGGTTTCCATTGATGATTTATGACTAGTGATAATTTATTTTAGTTCTTGCAAAGCAAATAGTTACTCTAGTAGTATTTTTTGTAGGGAGAATGTAAGGATTTGTTTCAGAGAATGAAAGATGGCCTGCTAAAGAGGCCAACTGCATATATAGAAGTACCATTTAGTTAAGTAAAATAATTTATAAAAATATTATAGACAACCTTAATTAGAATGTGGCGATATCAGGTGGGGCTTGGTCAGAAGGCTGGCATTCTACATGAGGATATAACAAAACATTTATGTATTTTTACATATAAAATCCAAAATTAGGATTCACTACATTTAGAGTAAATAATTCTGGGGCTGTGATGAATGAACCATTGAACATGCATCATTTCTGCAGACTTGTATTGTGATTTTTGTTATGGCGTATTTGGATCTGTTATATTTAATATTTCTTTGCTAGCTTTTGACTTATTTGCTCTTCTATTCATTCCATGGATGCCAAATAGTGGATTGCTAGAGAGCTGGTTTCGTTGGAAAATTACATTGATCAAGCAAATGAAAGGAACTGCGTGGAAGAATATCTTTTAATGATGTAGTTCTTCATAGAAAATTAGACTATTATCAAACTGAAACAACAGTTTGTATAAGCAGAAAGTAATCATTGGAATGTTTGAAAGAAAGGACCAGTAAAGGGGAACTGAATTTCAATCTAAAGCATGTTCAACTGTGTTTCGAAATGTAATTGATCCTTAACCCTCATTTCGGTATCCTATTGTCAAGAACAAAAACAGCTTGTTGCTGCTTGATACTCCATCAGAACAATTGTGGTTATTGAATTAGGTTCCAGAAGTAATTGCTGACACTCAAGATCCTTAACCTGCCTACGAGGATAGTAAAACAGAAGAAGAGCATGATGTTGGCTCACTTGAATCAGCCCTATGAACAACTGAAAATCCTGGCTCTAATCTTGAAGGCAATGGAATTGCTTACTGCTCAAATGATATAATAGATGTTGCGGCTAAATTTTCCAGGCTCCTCCTTGTGTGAATTAGTTTGTATATAAGATTATCCAAACTGCTTCTTTCTT